AAAATATCTGGCTTACTTACTTGTTTACTTGGATTTTGGCCACTAGCTCCATATTGGCTAGCACTTCTAGAAGGTGAGTTCCTATTTACTGCCCTATCGCAACTCTGGGCATATTCAAACTGCTTAATAAATATGTGTTGTGTGGATGAAGCGCTATATGCCCACAGGACTCAGGAGAGAGAGCTGGGGGCACAGATATAGGAGCTGGCATCATCACAACAGTAACAGTGGAAACTATTTCACAAAACGGTTTGCCCAGTTAAGAGTGGGTAGAAGTGAGGAAGACTAGAATAGAATCCAGAAGATCAGCCACGGAGTGGAAGAAGGAAAAGGAGCCTGGGAAGGAAACCAAGAAGGAGCCAGAGAGGCTGGACGAGCACTGGAAAGAGAGCTGCCATAGAAACCAGGAAACCAGGATAGAGAGTTCAAAAAAGAGGAAGCGGTGGACCGAGCAGGCCAAGATGAAACGCACCCAGTGGATTCTTGTCACTAGGAAGGCACAGGGAACATCCAGTTTCAGCAAAATGAAGTGCAACTGGCAGCCAATGAAAGTCTCTGGATAAATGCCCCAGCCTCCTGCCATTTGGAGGGACAATTATAATAACAAGCTCAAAAATGCGCCCTTTGTTGGCTTGTCTTCCTTACCTATTTTATTCTCCCCACTCCCTTCTCCCTCCCCTCTTTTCCCTGCTCCCTAGAACCCCTTACCACATAAACAATCAGCATTTGATGCCTGTCTCAGGCTTTGCAATCCAGGAAATCCAAACTAGAACAGACTAGCTGCATTTCTCACCTGTTTCTGTCTTCCTAGGAGGGAACAAGACTTTCCCTTTACAGTTCATCGTCCAAAACTGGTTTGTGTACCCATGTCTAAACGAATTATAACCACCAGGGAAAGGGATTATTAGGATTTGCCTAGACCAACCATGCTTTATTCCCTGGAGCTGGGCATACCATTCATCAAGATAAAGCCAGGTCCTGGTTCCATCTCCAAACCATCAAGATTCCCAAGACTAATGAGTACAGGAACCCCTGGCAAGGATGGCACCTGTCAACTTCTGCACATATGCCCAACTGCATCCACCACAGCTAAGGACTGCTGTACATTCATCCCTCTGCACGGCACTGTGCTGGGTGCTGCTGGCCAGAATGCAAAGATCAGAACATAGGATTTCTGACCTGATGGGGGTGTCATCTGGACATATTACATACACACTATATAATGTGAAAACACTGAGGACAGCGGCATGGTGGATTGCAACTCAGAGAGGAAAGACTTAGGATAGACTCGGTTGTGCTGAAGAAACAAAAAGTCCCTCAGATATATGTGTCCCACACTACATAGCACCCACGGGTGGACGGGAGGTTCCATGGCACCATGCGCACTCCAGAACATAGCCTGAGAGAACAGCTTTTCTTTTTTTAGACGGAGTTTCACTATTACTCCCAGGCTGAAGTGAAGTGGCACGATCTCGGCTCACTGCAACCTCTGCTCCCCAGGTTCAAGCAATTCTCCTGCCTTATCCTCCTAAGTAGCTGGGATTACAGGTGCCCGCCACCACACCTGCCTACTTTTTGTATTTTTAGTAGAGATGGGGTTTCACCATGCTGGCCAGGCTATTCTCGAACTCCTGAACTCAGATGATCCACCCACCTCGACCTCCCAAAGTGCTAGGATTACAGGCATGTGCCCGGCCTGAGAATAGCTTTTATCTGGATGTCACCCATCACTGAGCCAGAGGGAAAGACAGCTCAGAAGGTTCTGAATTAGCAATTGAATTCTGGAATTTTTGGCCCAGAAGTGAAATGTATGACTTCTACTCACAACTCATTGGTTAAAGCTGGTCACATGGCCCCATCCAAATACAGCCAGCCAGGGAGAGAGATCCTACCATATGCCAGAAGGCAGAGAGGCAGAGATATTTAGTGAGCAGTGGAAAGACATCTAGAAACCACCAAGGAATGATGACATTTGAACTGATCTTTGAAAAATATTTTCATCTTCAATGGATGAAGTTAAGGGCCAGGGAGGAGGAACTGCCAGGTAATGACATAAGAGAAGTCATGGAAGCATGAAGTGGCCTGGCTGGTATGACCAAAGCCAGGCTGCATGAGGGGACAGGGCTTGGCCTGGGCTCAAGGAGGGAGGCAGGTAACTGTGAAGAGCTTTGAATCACATAATAAGGATTTTGTACTCTACTGGATGATTGGCAATAGAGAGCTACCAAAGAGTTTTTCTGTTTGTTTTTTTGAGACAGTTTTGCTCTTGTTGCCCAGGCTGGAGTGCAATGGCACGATCTCAGCTCACTGCAACCTCTGCCTCCCGAGTTCAGGCAATTCTCCTGCCTCAGCCTCCCAAGTAGCTCAGATTACATGAATACGCCACCATGCCCAGCTAATTTTTTTTTTTTTAATCTACTAGAGACGGTGTTTCACCACATTGGCCAGGCTCGTCTTGAGCTCTTGACCTCAGGTGATCCACCTGCCTCAGCCTCCCAAAGTCCTGGGATTACAGGTGTGAGCCACTGCACCCAGCCTCTTTTTTTAGAGACAGAGTGTTGCTCTGTCACACAGGCTGGAGTGCAATAGTGCAATCATGGCTTACTGCGGTCTCAACCTCCTGGACATAGGCAATCCTCCTGCCTCAGCCTCCCAAGAAGCTGAGGCCACAGGTGCAAGTCATCACACTCAGCTAATTTTTAACTTATTTATAGACTGGGGTCTCACCATATTGCCCAGATTAGTCCTGAACTCCTGGTATCAGGCAATCCTCCTGCCTCAGCCTCCCAAAATGTTGGGATTACAGGTGTGAGCCTCTGCGGGTGACTGACTCTCACATTTCCATTTGCCCTTCCTCTCTTTCTCTCTCTTGTCATTTGTTCATTGAGGATTCCGGGTCATTTGTCCTGTAGAATTTTCCAAACTCTGGATTTTGCTGATAAAATCCCCCACCACCATTTACCATGCTTATCTTCCTCCTGCATTTCCTTTATGCTGGTGGCTGATTCTAAAACTCCCCTCCTTTTTAACAGAAGCAGAGGGAGAAGGAAACCATCATTTATCAACACCTACTGTGTGCCAGGCACTGTGTAGGTTCTTGTATAAACATGATCTCATTTAATCCTCACTGATACCCTTTGAGGTGAATATTTATTATCACTCTTTTTACAGATGAGGAACCCAGGACTCAGAAAATCTGAGTCTCACAAATTGATCTAGTAAAACTGGAAAATGATGGAACCAGGGTCAGAGCCCCTTCTCACTGCACTACACTGCCCCAGAGTGAAAAGGGGGTGGCACATGAGTGAGTGCAGGAAGGAGGTCTAGCTAGCCTGTGTTCTGGGACTATTACTCACCCTGTTCAGTGTTAATAATACATATTGTGACTTCATATGTGCCAAGTACTTTACATGCATCACAAGGATTTGGACAATGGATGCTTATTATCCCCATTTTACAGGTGGGGAAAATGAGACAGTGAGGGCCGGAAAGGGCAAGTGGCTTGTCCTGGGCAATGCAGCTGGTCTCACCAGTTTTCGCCCTCAGGTTTGTCCGCCAGTGGAGCCCATGTTTGCACCACTGTCCTACGTGGCCTCTCCTCATGGATGGCTCCATCCTTCTGGATGCGATGGATAGAGCTGGGTGCAGAGATAGGAAGAGCACCCCAACTTTCCTAACTGGAGGACTGGAGCGAGAGCTCTCACTGTCGGCCTAGTGTGGATTGACTCCTTTCCACCACATTCCCCAACCGAGGACAGTCTATACCAAGCTCACAGCACTGAGCCGCTGGGGGAGGGCCAGCCCACACCCAGCCCCATCAGTCTTGGTGGCATGGACTCCCTTCTAGAGCTTTCTCAGGAGGCCCCATTTCCTACTGCAGTGGGGCAAGAATTCAGGAGGAGCCCACTCAAAGGGGAGACAGAGGCAAGAATTCAGGAGGAGCCCACTCAAAGGGGAGACAGAGGCAAGAATTCAGGAGGAGCCCACTCAAAGGGGAGACAGAGGCAGTGCTCCCCGCGAGCAGCTCTTCCCTCCCAGAGCTGTCATGGACAATTGGAGAGAAAAACCGGGACATTCTCCCCCACCAGGATATTTTGTATGCTTTGCACTTACTGCTGCGTTCCCTTCATCTAAAAGCTCTAAAATTTCAAATAAAAAGGTACAATGAAAGCAGCAGCAGGATAAATAGCCACAGCGATCTGAGCTGAAACCCTGGAAGCTTTATTCACATCTTTAGAAAAACTCTGAAGGCTCCTAGTAGCAGCTGCAGTACAAAGCCTCACACTTTAATTCTAAGGCTGCCAGAAATAGGTCTGTCAGGCCTGAAATATCACTGCATTTCATTACTCTTAAATGTGCATTACCATCTCCGCTTCATTACCAGCTGGGGGGTATTCTCGAGATCAACTCCGGAGAGCACCGGGGATCTGGGATATATGGGGAAGGGCAGAGGACACAGTTGGGGCTAGAACACCCAGATGGGTGGAGAGACCTAGTGGGCTTAAAGATCACACTAGGCCCACAGGAGCGGAGGATCCATGTCCCCAGCAGAGGAAGGCAAGCTGCACTCTCCAAGTCTGATGTCACCCACTTGGGCAGTGAAGCCTGTATGGGAGAGGCAGTGGCAGGACTGCTGGGGCAGTGGAGAGGACAGTTTTGGAGCACAAATTAGGGCCTATGGAAGCAATGGATAAAGGGCCGAGGCCTTCAAGCCCAGCAGCAGGTAGGAACTGGTTAGAGGGAAATTAGGCCATCAGGGCCGGGGAAAATCACAGGCACAAAGCAGCCAGTGCAAAATCCTGGAAGGAGGCGGCTGCTGGAGGTTTGGAAGTTTGGAGCCTGGAGCAATCTGCATGTTTATAATACACTCAGGGCAGCTCTGAATAATTCAGTAGGCACTGTGATCTCGTTACAGTGCATGTCCCTGGGGTACAAAGGGAGAGGGGCTGGCTCGGCCCAGGCTGGCTGCCGCCACCAGGCTCCCTGAAAGGGCGTGACAGATGGGCCGACACCAGCCACCACCCAGTCACGCTTCGCACAGTGATTGGTTTTCAAAGGAGGACAGGGTTTGTGAATGGAGCCAGCTTGTTGCTTGCTGCCTTCAAATGGATGCTGCTGGGTCGCGTGGCCAGCCAGGCCCTCTTGTGAATGGGGCATCACCAGTGGGTGGTGAACAAGCCGGAGATGACTCCCTCTTCCCCTCCCCCATCATTGCTGAAGCTGAGATGGAGGGAAAGGCGAGCAGGGCCCCTGACCCTTCTCTCTGCTGATAGGTTTAACCCTCCATTGGTCTTCCTCTGCTCTAATCCTGCATCAGTGAGAATTAGGTTCAGGTGCATATACCATAAACACAAGAAGTTAAGATGAGAGTGTCTTTTTCTCTCACATAAACAAATCCAGAGATAACTAGTACAGATGTAGTTTGTGAGCTCCAGCACCATCAGGACCTAAGCCCCTTTCCCCGCACTACCCTGCCATCCCCAGTCCTCAGCTTGCTAGTCAAGGTCCCAAATGACTGCTCAAGCTCCCACATCATGTCTACATTCCAGCCATCAGGAAAAGAAGATGGGAAGAAGCTGCCCAGAGTGCACACTAGTCATTGAGATTTCCCAGAAGCTGCCACAGGTGCAATAGATGACAACTTGGTTACATGGCTACACTTAGCTGCAAGAGAGGTTGGGAAATGTATGCTTGTCTTATATGGCCATTTGTTTGTTGGTAGAGAATTCTCCACGGTTCTATTCCATTTCTACACATCTTGCAAGTGAGGCATTGACTGTCCTTTGTTCCAGGTTATCATTTTCAGGATATAGTGGACAGCCTTGGAAGATCTACTGTCTCCCTCCCAAAGGGGCAGGCATGCTGCCCCTTATGAAATAGACATGGCCCATTATAAAAGATCTGGGTTCCCTAAGTTCAGGGTTACTGTCCTGAAATGCAATCAATCCACTGTGTGTGCAGGCATCACCTGGCCCTTTCTGCAAAACCCCATGGGGATTAGGGCTGATACTCTTGCTACTGCTATTGCTGTGAATAGTAAACTGTCCTTCATCTCTGACCCAGGAGTCTGGGCTTCTAACACAAGCTACGACACTGGTGGGCTAATTTGTTAGCTTGTAAGTAGGATAAACTTTCATACCCTTCATAGTTCCTGACAGTGTTCAGCTAAGAATCAGGGTTTCTTCAGGGGTAGTTACTAGAAATCTGCCATAGGCTTCTTCCCAGCTACTTGAGTTGACCATACAGGTGTTCCCAGGTATCTGGACCCCTCCCACCAAAGAGAGGGAAGTGCCTTCAGGTAAAACTCCAGTCACTTCCAAAATTATAGCAGGTCTCGAAATACCTAAAGACAGTAGGAATCAGCCAGGCACGCTGTCTCACACCTATAATTCCAGCACTTTGGGAGGCCAAGATGGGAGGATCACTTGAGCCCAGGAGTTCAAGACCAGCCTGGGTAACAATAGGGAGACCCTGTCTCTACTAAACCAAAAAAAAAAGAAAATTAGCCAGGCATGGTGGCACATGCCTATAGTCCTAGCTACTCAGGAGGCTAAGGGGGAAGGATCACTTGAGCCCAGGAGGTTGAGGCTACAGTGAGACATGACTACACCACTGCCTTCCAGCCTGGGTGACAGGGTGAGGCCCTATCTCATAAAAAGTAAAAAAAAAAAAAAAAAGACAGCAGGAGCTTATGCACCTGCTCACCTCCTCAGCTCTGAGGGTTCTCTAAAGAACCCCATGGACTTCCTTGTCTCCATCCAGTAGGACCCGGAGCCAGGTGCCACGGAGCCAGCAGGCAGACTCGGCAGGAATCCCTTCATAGCATTCTCAGGATACCCAGGGCTCCAGGTGTTTCCTAGGCTGTCGGGGCAAGGACAGGGAGCTCAATCCAGTGCCAGGGACTCTGCTTCCTGCCTCATTGCCAAGGGGAGAGACTCTACACAGTGAAATCTGGATTACATATTAAACAGTTTCAAACCCCTAAACTCAAGGTGATGTCCCAGATTGAATCCTGGAACAGAAAAAGGACATGAGTGGAAACGTGAAATCCAAGTAAAGTCTGTAGTTTACTTAATAATATTGTTCCAATGTGAATTCTTCATTTTAACAAACGTACCATGGTTAGGTAAGATAGAAACTTTGGGGGAAGCAGGGTGAAGAGTACATGGGAATTCTCTACACTATTGTTGCAACTTTTATGTACATCTAAAAATTTTCCAAAATAAAAAGTATACTAAGATAAAATAAAGCCAAAAAGGCTTCAAGACCTAAGCTCAACATTTAAGAGGCAGGAAAAGAAAAAGATGAAGGGTGGGGCACAGTGGCACATGCCTGCAATCCCAGCACTTTGGGAGGCCAAGGCAGGCAGATCACTTGAGTCCAAGAGTTCAAGACCAGCCTGGCCAAAATTGTGAAGCCCTATATCTACTAAAAATACACAGATTAGCCTGGCATGGTACGCACCTGTAGTCCCATCTACTCGAAAACTAAGGTAGGAGAATAGCTTGAACCCTGAAGGTGGAGGTTACAGTGAGCCGAGATCTTGCCACTGCACTCCAGCCTGAGAAACAGAGCAACACTCTGTTTCAAATATGTATGTGTGTGTGTGTGTGTGTGTGTGTGTGTACATACATACATGATTATTTTAAGTATTTAAGTTCAAAGAGCTGGGTTAGGACCTCTCTTCTGGAGTTAACCATAAACCGTCCTCTTTCATCGTCAAAGAATATCCAGGATTGGAGTAAAAATGGAAGCAAAGGCAAACTCACCCTTTGCAAGGCATCGGAGTGGGCAGTCAACCCGGACCAACGCCAACATCAAGGTCGGGTGAGGCCCTGCACAGACTTGGTCCTTGGGCAATCCCTCGGCGCTGCAGGAAGGGCAGGCTGGGGCTCCGGCCCTGCGGCCCCCGCTCTCCCGCCTCCGCTCCCCGGGGAGAACCCGGGGCGCTGCCAGAGGCCCGGGACACCCGGGCCGCGCCCTCACGAGGGGCCCCAGTGCGAGAGGCCCCGCCCGGCCCGGCCCGCCGCCCTCGGAGGAAAAGCCGTTTGCTCAACCCGGAGGAATGCGGGGCCGGCGCTCCGGCGGGGGAGGCTCGTAGACTGCACAGCCACGGGCGGCCACAAACTTCGCCCCTCTGGACACGGCGGCTGCAGGCGGGAAAAGCGGGGCGGCCTCAGGCCCCAGGCCCGGCCCCCAGCCCGGGGGTGGTCCAGCCAGGGCTCCCGCCTTCGAGGCCGTTTAAAAGCGGCGGCAGACGCAGGCCGGAGGGCCGAGGCAAGAACCTCCCACGGAAAGCTCCAAAGAGGCGGGGGTTTCTGCCTCACTGTTGTGTTGGTGATTCATCTGTGGCGCCTGAAGAGTGCCTTGAACATAGTAGGCGCTCAGTAAACATTTTTTGAAAGAATCACATAATCCTCCCGGCCTCAGTTTCCTCCTGTGTACAGGAACGGTTTGATCTCGGAGGACCCTATCAACTCAAATTCTAGGATGCTGAGATTAAATCCCATGTGTACTGCTGTGGTTTCGCTTTTAGTTTTTCGGGGACATTTTTAGTGTTACCCTTTATGATGTGCCAGGAGTGAATTTGACACCAGATGGCTTTTTTTTTTTTTTAATAAGAAAGAAGACAAAGGGAGGGAGAAAAATATTTTCCAACTGGCAGTGCTGACAGCATTTTGGAAGAGAATTCAGGGAGGCAAGGGAGCTGTTTCAGCACGATTCTGCCTCCTCCTGCACACTCTGCCACCCTGGCCTCCGCCATAAACGAGGTCGATCTGAGTGGAGCTTTTTATGGATGAGGCGAAGGGAGCATCGTCACAGGAGACTCCACCCCGAGTTAGCAGTTGCTTTGTCCTCTGTGGCTGTCACAGCGGACTGGCCCCTGAGCCGCATGGTGGTGGATTCCAGCTATAGGTGGGGCTCTGGCTAAAGGCTGAGTCTGGTGTTAATTAGAAGAAAAGAGAGACACCTGTCGAATCAAAAGCTGGCACTCCCTGCCTGGGGAACATTCAGGAAAAAATAGCCAAAGTGGCAGTGCCTCTTCTGGAATTCTTCTCTGGAATCCCAACTCCCTCATGGAAAGGCGGGGTGGAGAGAGGTTCCTTGCTCAAAATGACCTCAAGCTGAGTTTTTAATATGTCATGGCACAAGGAAGGGAAATTCCTAGAATAAAACAATTTGGCAGTGTGCACAGGTCTGCCAACCAGGGATTCTGCAGGCAGTCTGCTTGGGTTCAAATCTTGGCTCCACCACTTACCAGTTGTTTGATAAGGATAAGCGACTTTATCTTTCTGTACCTTAGTTTCCCCAACTGTAAAATGGAATAATTAAAATTCCCACCAAAGGCAATTGTTGTGTGGATTGAATGAGATAACACAAGAAAAGGGCCAGTGGTCTGCTTCTCCAAACAGACACTGGCACAAGGCAAGCACTCAATGTTTTCTTATTTGTTAAGCGACAGGCCCCCCAAAACTAAAACCTTGTGCTGGACAGGTCTCAAAGTGGCTGCCTGTGAAGAGCCCCACTGTGGTACTCTCACCTTTGGGCAAAGAAGCCTCCATTCAGCTGACTGGTCCCTCCCTCCTCCTCCTTCACATCCCCAGGAAACTGGAGGAAGGCTACACAGGATGAGCAGAAATGATGTGTCAGGCTCCAACTTGATGGACCACCTCCAAAGGGATCTTGGAGGGAAGAAGGGAGTCATGGGCATGGAGAAGAAGACTGTCAATGTCAGTCTGGGAGGTTGGGACTAACGCAGTAGATGGTATACAAACCAGTGCACTGATGTGTGAATGCAGTAGCCAGTATACAAACGAGTGCACTATATCACGGCTTATCACGGCCACTCATGGTCTGTGACTTTGTTGGATGGGTCCTTGATTTTCTACTGATATACTGTTTTCTAATTGTTTCAGATGCAGTGTTCTCAAATTTGACCAGCAAACTCCTTGAGGCCAAGTCTTGTCTTTCTGTCATGGTATCCATCTGACACAAATATGTCAAAGATGCTACTCACAAAGTAAAGACTTCAGAGGCGCTTATTGATTGGACGAGATGTTAAATGGAGCAGATAGGAATTCCATGCTGCGTGGTCAAGGGGAGACAGAGGCAGCTGGGCATGTAGGGATCAGAGGTGTGACTCATCTGCTGGCCCCAAGTATCTTCCCTCCAACCCACAGTAGAAAATCTCTTTATCAGTAGAAAATAAAGAACATCCAACAGAGTTATGGATCATGGGTTGCTATCACAACCACCTATGGCATATCAGGCACTTCAAATACTCTACTCAAATCTCTCCAGTTTCCAGAATTCAGCAACACCAAGGTTCCCAGCCTGTCCTGCCACGGGAGAGGTGACATCCATGCCAGCCCTGGGAAAATATCTCTCTCCAACTGCTCCATCACTCCTGTCCTGCAGGAGCCTCCAAGGCAAACTTTGCTGCCATTTCTGTCACTTTTCCAAATGGACACTGGACTTCCATTGCTGTAATCAGGACAGAGCCCACTGTTGCCCTGAGATGTCTTCTGGAGTCCCCCTAAGTGTCTTCATGTGGCTGGCCCATCCCATCATTTGGATCTTCTCATTTTCAGAGGAGACTTTCTTGACCAGCCTCTATCAAAAGTAGCTGCCCCCCTGCCAAATTACTTTCCATGATCTTATCCTGCTTATTTTGTTACTTACATGTTCATTGTCTCTCTACGCCACCCAGACTGAAAGTTTCCCTAAGGACAGGGACCTCGTCTTTCTGTCCATTACTGTATCCCACCCCGTTTCACAGTGCCTGGCACATGGCAAGTGTCTGCTTGATGAGTGGTGGCCTCCTTCACCCTGAGATAGTTCCCTTCTCTCTAACAATTTTAGTCAGTTCTTTTCTATTAGGTAGTTCCTCTGCCTTCAAAAAAATGCATCAGCTCCTTTATTTTGCAAACTCTTTTTTTTTTTTTTTTTTGAAACGGAGTTTCACTCTTGTTACCCAGGCTGGAGTGCAATGGCGCAATCTCAGCTCACCGCAACCTCTGCCTCCTGGGTTCAGGCAATTCTCCTGCCTCAGCCTCCTGAGTAGCTGGGATTACAGGCAAGCACCACCATGCCCAGCTAATTTTTTGTATTTTTAGTAGAGATGGGGTTTCACCATGTTGACCAGGACGGTCTCGATCTCTTGATTTTGTGATCCACCTGCCTCAGCCTCCCAAAGTGCTGGGCTCACAGGCCTGAGCCACCATACCCGGCCGAGCATCTTAAACAATGGGCAAGCATATTATTTTTCAGAGGCAGAGAGCATTAATTCCACCTTTAATAAAGTCACTTTCCCTGTGATTTTTTCTGAAAGCCCTGGCCTAGAGGGTTTCCCCTTATGTGTCCTTGGCCAGGGCTGTGTCACATGCCTACACCTAAACCAATCACTGACACAGAGGCAGGAAGCACCCTGGTTGGCTGAGACTCATCAACATTCATCCCCTGTGGCTGAGGAGGGGGTCTCCTACCTCGAGCACAGGCAGGTAAATTTCAGAACAAAATCAAGCCTTTAACAGCATAGAAAAAAGGTAGAGAGTAGCTGTTGAATCTATGAACTGCCCAATAACCTTCCAATAAATTGTTTTTCTGCTTAAGTTAGCCAGAGTTGATTTCTGCGGCCTGTAATCACAGAAGCCTGGCTGAGCTACACTCCGGGGCTGTGTGATGAGATGACAGGAGCAGCCTTCTCGGCCAGGAGGAGTGCGATCAGCACACATCTGTGAGGCAGCATAGAATGGCCACGTGGAAGCACCGGAAAAATAGTCCCAGGACCTCAGGAAATGACTGTGGAGTGAGATGTTAGAGCTTAGAGTCAGCTGTGTATTTCAGGTGACCCATTGTGACTGTACCCCCAGGCTATGTAACCTGGGGCAAGTGCATTACATGAATGTTCAGTAAATATTAAAGTGAACTGAAGCCTACCCCCCACCTCTCCCCCCGCCCCTCCCCTGTGACTCATATCTGTAATCCCAGCACTTTGGGAGGCCAAGGTAGGCAGATTGCTTGAGCTCAGGAGTTCAAGACCAGCCTGGGCAACAAGGGGAAAAACCTTGTCTCTATCAAATATACAAAAACTTAGCCGGCCTTGGTGGTGTGTACCTGTGGTCCCAGCTACTCAGGAGGCTGAGGTGGGAGGATTCCTGGAGCCCAGGAAGTCAAGTCTGCAGTGAGCCATGATCATGACATTGTACTCAAGCCTGGGTGACACAGTGAGACCCAGTTTCAAAATATAAATAAATAAAATAAAGTGAACTGAAGTTATCTGATCACCCTTCCTTTTTAAAATTTTAAGCTAGGCGTGGTAGCCGGAACCTCTTGTTCCCACTATTCGGGAGGCTGAGGCAGAAGGATCATTTGAAGGCCGAGTGCAGTGGCTCACACCTGTAATCCCAACACTTTGGGAGGCCATGGCGGGTGAGTTATTTGAGTCCAGAAGTTTGAGATCAGTCTGGGTAACATAACAAGACCCCATCTGTCCTAAAAATACAAAAAATTAGCTGGGTATAGTGGTATGTGCCTGTAGTCCCAGCTATTCAGGAGGCTGAGGTGGGAGGATGACTTGAATCTGGGAGGCAGAAGCTATAGTAATATTGGACCACTGCACTCCAGCCTGGACAATAGAGCCAGATTCTGTCTCAAAAAAAAAAAAAAAAAAAAAAGGCCAGGTGTGGTGGCTCCCACTTGTAATCCCAGCACTTTGGGAGGCCAAGGTGGGTGGATCATCTTGGCTAACATGGTGAAACCTGTCTCTACTAAAAATACCAAAATTAGCCAGGCTTGGCAGCGCACACCTGTAGTCCCAGCTGCTCAGGAGGCTGAGGCAGGAGAATCACTTGAACCCAGGAGGTGGAGGCTGCTGTGAGCCAAGATCGTGCCAATGCACTCCAGCCCGGCAACAGAGCAAGACTCCATCTCAAAAAAAAAAAAAAAAAAGACCACTTGAGCCCTGGAGTTCAAAGCCACAGTGCTCTATGATCGTGCGTGTGAATAGCCACTGCACTCCAGCTTAGGCAACACAGCAAGACCTCATCTCTAAAAAAATCAATTAAATTAAATAGTATCTTTCTCTGGTTCCCAAGAGGCCACTCAGTTAAACAACGGGCCTTTCCCACCGGCTGCTTTCCTTCAGAAGACTTGAACCATTATACTACAGCTTCTTCCCACTTCAACTCTTGCCCTTCCCAGGGTGCGTGGTTCTGCACGTGAGCAGTCTCTCACCTCTGGAGCAGGAGACTCCATCATCACTCAGACCTGCCCCATCCCCACCTCTGACACTCAGCCCTTTCTTCGCTGGCCTAGACCACCTTTCCTTTCTCCTCCTGGCTGCCCACTCCCACTGAGCCTGCTTTGAAGAAACTGGCCCAGTCCCTGGCACATCATCAACATCTAATTAGTGGCTGCCAATATTGTCTTGACCTCTCCTGCTCCCTGGCCAATGGCATGCCCCAAAGCCACTTCACTGCCCTCCTTCTGGCTCTAGAATGCCCCATCCCCTCACGTGCTCCTCTGAGCTACAAGCTGCTGCCCACTACTCACTGTCTTCATCCCTGTTCCCTGCTGAACTTACCACTGATTCTGATGGTCCCACTTTGGCCAGGCCTCACTGGGGCCCAATAATCCTTTCCCTCTTGGGCCCTCATGGGTGGGCGGGAGTTTGAAATCAAGTTCCCACAACAGCTCTTTTAAGCTCCGGAAGCTTCTCTCCTCCCCTCTTTACCTTGCTCCTAATAGATGGCCTACTTTCGGCCACTTTGTCAGCTAGAGTGCCTGGCACAAGCACCGCTTTCACCTCAAGAAGACAGCTCTGACTTCTGGTCACAAGATAGTGGAGTAAAGCCCCCTTCTCCTCTCAAAAATCACCCCCAAGATGACAAGGAAAATAAGAAACAGGAACCCAAAGTCCATCTTCAACTAAACAAGGGTTTAGAATCCTGGCCCCCATCATATGAAAACAGAAAATGGATGGAGGAATGGCAAACGACCCCACAGAATCCAAGAACGGCAGGCCAAAAACATGCGGAGCACAGACTCACGAGAAGCAAGCTGATGGTTCCCTCAGGAGCCCAGGAAAGCTCAGGAATTGGAAGTAGCAAGTAAGTCAGAAGGCTGGACAGGGCTCTAAAACTGAGGCAGGGTCTAAAACTCCAGGAATTGCTGGAAAATCTGTGTGAAGAGCAATTAGACTGTCAGGAAACCCAATCACACCCCCAGCACAATCAGGTAACTTCATACGTCCCCTCCCCACTCCTGCAGGAGACAGGACGATGGATTCTGGAGATATTGAAACAGGAAGATTCTGGTCTTAGGGGTTGGGGAGGTACAGAAAAAGGGGTGAGATCAAAGACAGGGAAAGTCGATGAAATGGTTTGGCTGTGTCCCCAGCCAAATGTCATCTTGAATTGTATTCACATAATTCCCATGTGTTGTGTGAGGGACCTGGTGGGAGATGATTGAATCGTGGGGCGGTTCCCCCATACTGTTCTCATGGTAGTGAATAAGTCTCACGAGATGGGATGGTTTGATAAGGGGGTTCCTCTTTTGCTTGATTCTCATTCTTTCTTGCCTACCGCCATGTAAGAAGTCCCTTTGCTCTTCCTTCATCTTCTGCCATGATTGTGAGGCCTCCCCAGCCCTGTGGAACTGTGAGTCAATTAAACCTCTTTTCTTTATAAATCACCCAGTCTTGGGTATGTCTTGATGAGCAGCATGAGAACAGACTAATACAGTCGGCATCTGAGCGATATTATCCCTCTCTCTGCCACACACCTCTCCCTAACTCCCACACTATAGCTGGCTCTAAAACTCTGGGTGAGGGGCTTGTAACCTTCAAACAGGAGATGAAACTAGATAATTCTTTTCTGGAAAAAAAAAAACAAAAACAAAAAGTGCCAGAGAAAAAGCCTATTCACACTGACAGTTGATACCCTCCAATGAAGGAGTCCAGCCAGCTACTTGATTGCCCTACTGTGAGCCCACAGGGAGAGCTTCCAACTGTATCTCTAGAGCCTCCCTCTCAACAGGAGTTGATAGCCAAGGCACGCCAGACCTGCAAGGAAAGCCTCCAGCGTGATGCAAATCAAAACACAGTGGGAAGAAAAATTCAAGTTAATATCCTCAGAGAGATGAGATTACTTCACGTGTCCAAAGGACATGAAACTATTTATTAAAAAAAAAGAAAAAGAGGCTGGACACGGTGGCTCACACCTGTAATCCTAGCACTTTGGGAGGCCAAGACAGGTGGATCACCTGAGGTCAGGAGTTCAAGACCAGCCTGGCCATCATGGTGAAACCCCAACTTAAAAAAAAAAAGAAAAGAAAAGAAAAGGAAAAAAGAGAGAAAAGAAAGAGGCCAGGCACGGTGGCTCACACCTGTAATCCCAGCACTTTGGGAGGCCAAGGCGGGCAGATCACAAGGTCAGAAGTTTGACACCAGCCTGGCCAATATGTTGAAACTCCATCTCTACTAAAAATACAAAAAAAAAAAAAAAAATTAGCTGGGTGTGGTGGTGTGCGCCTGTAATCCCAGCTACTCGGGAGGCTGAGGCAGGAGAATCACTTGAAGCTGGGAGGTGGAGGTTGCAGTGAGCCGAGATCGCTCCACTGCACTCCAGCCTGGGGGACAGAGTGAGACTCCACCTCAAAAAAAAAAAAATTAGCCAGGAGAGGTGCTGTGCACCTGTAGTCTCAGCTACTCAGGAGGCTGAGGCAGGAGAATCACTTGAACCTGGGAGGCAGAGGTTGCAGTGAGCTGAGATCACACCACCGTACTCCAGCCTAGGCAACAGAGCTAGACTCCATCTCAAATTAAAAAAAAAAAAAGAAAAAATATCAAACATGAAAGCATATACCAAAAAACATAAAAAAATAATAACAATATACTTAGCAAATAGATTAGGATATAACATAGAGGATATCTACCAGAAAACAGAATGAAGAGATGGTTAATAAGAGAGAAATAATAAGAAAATTAGAAGATAAATCCAAGGAGCCTAGCATCCAAGTAATTGGAAATGTGAAAAAAATAAACAGAGAAAATGGAAGAAGAAATTTCAAAGAAATTATAAAGCAAGTCCCAGAACTAAAGTACATAAATTGTTCTGGGCAGAGGTTCTTAAGCTCCAGCAGGCATCAGAATACATGGCTTATTAAAGCACAGATGGCTGGGCCCTATCACCAGAGTTTCTGATTCAGCAGGTGTGAGGTGGGGGCCCTGAGTTTGCATTGCTGACATGATCCCACAGGTGATACTGATGCTGCCGGACTGGGGACTACACTTTAAGAACTGCTGTATTTGATTTAAAGAACTTAACAAGTACCCAGAAAAATGAATGAAAAGCAGCCCATAGAAAATACTATGACATTTCAAGATAGCCCAGATAAAAGAAAACACTCCTAAAAGTGGGGGTGGGGAGAAGGGCCCAGGTGAATTCAAAGTCTCAGAAATCAAAATGGCAAGAACTTCTAAACTGCAAAATTAGAAGCTGAAAAATAAAGGAACAACGTCTTCAAACTTCTGAAGGAAAATGATTTTCAACTTAAAATTCCATACCCAGCCAAAACTATCAATCGAGTGTGAAGATGGAATAAAGCCATTTTAAGTATGTGAAAGTCTAAAATGTTACCTCCCAGGCACTCTTTCTCAGGAAGCTACTGGAGGATGTGCTTCATCAAAACGAGGGAGTAAACCAAGAAAGAAAACACTGAGTCCAGGAAAAAGGAAAAGGGCAAAGGTGATGAGAAACCGAGGATGACAGCAACGCATCCAGAGGAAAGTGCAAGGACAGAGCACCCCAGGACAAAAGTCTCCAAGGGAAAAAGAGAACCAGTAAGATTACATGACAGGTTTGTCCATATGCAAAATTGTTCTGAGAGGGCGTTTTACAGAACTGTTGAAGGGTGTGGGAAGACAGAGTCAGAGATTTGAAGAAAAAACCAAGCAAATTAAAAACGAGGCAATTAACTCCAGAAAAAACAAAAAGGTTGTACAGGAAAGGAAATATAAACAGAGAACATGACAAAGTTATTTAGAAAAGGAAATGTAACCAGAATACTTGCCTCAAGAATAAACAGTATTTACAAATTCAATAATAAAATCACTGAATATGGATTTAACCATAGATTATGATATAAACATGTGAGTGGGGGAGGGGAAGACTCGAGTAGAGAATCAAAATCCTCCTCTACCAAAAGAAGTCAACAAATTAGATGAATCCAGAATGGCAGTACATATACTATTTAGAAATAAGG